ATAACCCTTCTACCCTAAGGTGTTGGGTGTAAAGTCTCTTTTAGTTTTCATGTGCAAACTTCCTCCAATTCTTCTTGTTGCTTGCCAACTTCTTCGCTTGCTTCTTGGTGACTCCTCTCCTGTCTAGGATGGCGGCAATTTCATCGTCCCAGGTCTTCATGGGTCTGCCCCTCGGTCTTTTCAAGGTTCTTCTCGCTTCCCACACTTGTTTCATTTGCCTTTTTTTATCCATCCTTACCATGTGGCCGTACCATCTCAGTTGGGCTTCTTCGATTTTCTTCTCTATTGACTGGACTTTAAGGCGTTCTCTTATTTCATTGTTCCGTATCCTGTCCATTCTGGTCACCCCTAGTACTCTTCTTAGATACTTTATTGATATACTTTGCAGTTTACTTTTTAGTCTGGTGGTGAGCGTCCAGCTTTCACATCCAAATGTTAAGATAAGTACAAAAACTGTGTTGTAGATAGCTATCTTTGCTTTTTGGGATACTTCTTTTTTCGATAGGAATGTGCTCTTAATTGGGTGGTATATCTGGGAAGCGTTTGCTATTCGATTATTTATCTCTGCTTCTTGTGTACCCCTACTCTCTAGTTGCACTCCCAGGTATTTGAAGGTTTCTACTTGTTCTAAAGTATAGTTATTGATTTTAATGTTTGTATGTTGGTCTGTTTTCCCACATACCATCACTTTGGTTTTACTTTCATTAATTCTCAGATTGCGTTTCTCAAGTTTATCTCTTCATATTTGGAGGTTTCTCTTAAGTGCGTCCTCGTTTCTTCCAAATACGACGAGGTCATCTGCAAATGCGCACTCCGCAATCTGTATCATTTCCAGGTTTCTATGTCCAACAAATAATCTCGATGTTTCTTCTCTAGTTTCCTTCATTACATCATCTAGTACAATATTGAACAGGATGGGGCCTAGTACACCTCCTTGTCGTAAGCCATCATTGACTCTAAACTCTTCTGATTCCATATTATCTGTTCTTACCCTGTTTCTTGTGTTCTTGTATAGGCTCATAATAGCTTTTCTGAGTTTGCCGTCTACTTCTCTGTTTCTTAGGCTTTTGTCTATTTCAGTTCGCGGTGTTCTATCAAATGCTTTTTCGAGGTCTATGAAGGCTTGGTATAGTTCTGTACTTGTATTTCGTGCATTTTGTATTAGATGCTTGAGTGTGAAAATATGGTCATGGATGCTTCTTCCCTTCCTGAAACCGCTCTGTGACTGTTCCAGCTGACCGTTTTTAATATAAACTATAAAAACGATAAAAATATTTATATTAAATATTTTACTTATGGCTTTATTTATAAATCATCGGAATCCTGGGAATCCATTAAATCTTCTAAAAAGAAAAAGAAAAAGAAGACAGAAAGATGGGTAGTTAGCAACGGTAACTCAGTTACTCAACGCAACCAGAGATCTCTTTGTGCAGAATTTATGCCTCTTTCTAGTTTACTTATTTAACACTTGGTATAATTGGACATATTTCCCAAAAAACTGGTTTTCAAAATTTTCTTCGCAGGTTACGCCCCCTAGCGGTTAATCCAGAATCTTGAAAGTTATTTCCAGCGATTTCTCTTGGCCACTTTTACTAAGGAATTTTTTCTCCTAAAGTTATAACATGAACAGTTTCTGATATATAGCCGAGAGATCGGCTTATTGGACCACCCGGTACAGCTGTTCGCCTATTTTGAATAACATTTTTACCAATTGATCATTTAGCAGCTATGCCATTTCCACTAAAATATTATCCCCATTATCTCATTTTCAATAGTCAATAAAAATGTAAGATGATGACAAGTATAAATTTGATGGTAATGCGATCTTCGACGTCGTAGCACATATTTCCTTGTCAATAACAGTTTTTACATAACACGAAATATTTTTCAATTTTTTTAAGCCCTTGTCTCTATTCTGATTGCCGAATGTAGGCCTCTCCTAATTCTCGCCATTCATCTGTGTTGTTTGTGAGACGTTTCCACATTGGTCCTGCAGTTCTTTTAATATCGTCGCTCCAGCGCATTTTCGGTCTTTCTCGTGGTCTTTTGGCTTCATATGGCTGCCAATTCCCGAGTTCTTTATTCCATCGGCCATTCTTAAGACGTTCGTTATGTCCAGCCCATTTCCATTTAAGTTTAGCTGCCTGTTCGACAGCATCTTTCACTTTTGCTCTATTACGAATGTTTTTCTGATCTTCTTCATGTTTATTTTAGTGAATGTCCAGGTTTAAGCTCCATATGTAAGTCCAAGTAGGATACAGGAATTAAACCACAGCCACCTTTAATTCCAAGCCATGAAGTAAAAAAGGCAACACCGCATTCTATGACGTCGGTAGTCCGATAATCATCTGTAAGGTCTACCAGAATATTAAACTAATTTGAATTTTAGGAAACTGATATTTTGAAAACTTCAATTCATTACAGAAATATTTTTAGGGAACTTAAATTAATAAAACCTTATATATACCTAGTAAATATATATAAAGTTTTATTATTATTTAGGTTATATTATCAATAAAATAATCACTAGAGTAAAATTTATTGCACTTAAAATACAGTGTCAAACAGTTAATCTTACAATCAAATGCAGTCAAGAATCTCTAGAAATTTTAAATATTAAGTACTTAAGCATATATATAACACAATACATTAACACTACATTTAAAAAGATTATTAAAAATACAAAAGATATAAAATTTGTGCTAAGTAAAAACTTAGTGTAACTATTACGATTAAAAAATTCATCCTAAGAAATCGGACACAATATAAATATGGATCTAAATTAATCTAATTGAAAATTAAATATTTTACTATTTACTTATAACTTTTGTTGAATTTTCATACTTAGATATACAAAAGTAGCAATTTTAAATATGAATAGGTTTGTTGTCATATAGACCAAGTTAAAAGAGGTATACATGAAAAATGTTTTGAATGTAACATACCATTTATAACTTGTATATCGATTTAAAATAGCCTATATTCTCAAAAGATTTTTGAATGTAATACTCAAATTTGTTATCACTTATCTAAAAAGCAAATCTAAATGAGAAAGTAAGTTCTCTAATTGTGACCATCTTGTTAATTAACTATATTGTAAAATCCATTTCAAATCATTACCACTTAATCTATTCTTACCTACATTGACGATTACACTAAAATTACTGCTAACTATTACACTACATATTACACAAATATTATCACACTTGTGTCCAAACTGATTAATGTTTAATACATAGAAATATACAGTCACTTGTAATTTTACTTGTCCAGTTTTTCAATGGGATATTATTGTCTAAGTCTAATTGACATAATTATGTTATCTCTTGTTCCCTCTTCTTATGCAAAAAGTTTCTTCTGTCTTCAGGATTCCTTCTTTCTTTAGTACGATGAACAGTTACATATGATGGTACTTCGGGAAATATATTAGGAACTGCATTGCCTTTTAATTTGGGAAATATTAACTTTTCAATGTGTACATTTCCATCTTTATCTTCTCATTGTTCAGTCCGCTGAATATCATCTTCATGAAAATGTTTGGCACATACCACGGAAGATTTGGTAATTGTACAGCCTTCTATATGAATAGAGCATAACCCAGTATACCTTCTTTGGGGATCTTTGGGAAACAAAAACATACTTTCTGCCTGTTTTGTTTTTAAAGTACTGGCATAATTGGTTTTGCAACCAGGTACACAACAATGCCAGAGCATCTGTAACAAAAAACAAAAGTATTATTATTGTTGTTTTTAGTTTACATATTTTGTAACAAGAAGCAAAAGTATTATTATTTTCAGTTTGTTTTGTAGGTTATATTTATACTTGCCTTTTAAACTGTCGTTAAAAATCTTTTAAAAGTTCTAAATTTAATGAAATTTCACTTATATTAATATTGTCTAATTGATTTAAACACAATTTACAAATAAAACATTCGAATAAAGTTAAAAAACAATAAATTCAACAAAATTTACAAGCCTTCCTATATGAAATGTTAAAGCAAAACAAACCAAAGTCGGACTACCACGCGTTGTTGCCAAATTTCTACTTCATGGCTTGGAAGTAAAGGTGGCTGTGATTAAACACTTTGGTTCGCAGTCTTTGAGGTATATTTTTATTTTTAAGTACATATCAGAGTCTTCCGAATGCTGCCGATCCCATTTTTACACGTCCGCTTATTTCAGTGGTCTGATTTTCTTTGCTTACCTTAACATTTTGACCCAGATACTTATATTCATCTACGTGTTCTATCTCTGTCCCTTGGATGTTTATCATAGGTTTTTCATCTTTAACAAACCTTAATCATTTTTCAATGATATATCTATTATATGGATTTAATAAATTGATTCAAATAAAAACTTTAATCGTAGGAGGTCACGTACCTATATTCCCATAATAGTTGGGCAAGATCAGGTAATATCGAAATTCACAGAACGACAAGGACACGAACAGAGACATAACGATAGAGTCAATTTCTAATAAAATAATTCAATTCTAAAAAATAATGAAATAATTACCTCGCTGGAATTAAATAATTTCTCAACAGTTGGCAATTTTAAAATCGGTTCTTAACAATGAATCACCCTCTTTATTTCCTTGCCAGAGTATAGTAGTAATTGTACCCTCCAACTACGAGAGGGTTGCCACTTATATCTTCTTCTTGAAGTGTTGTTGGCGACCATCATGGAAATCTGTATTTTGACAACTGCTGCTCTGAAAAGATTTGTGGTTGTTGTGTTAAAACAACAATTTTTCAGCCAGGAAATCCTTTGCCTTTCTGGTCCTCGTTTTCTTCTAGTTTTCCTTGTAGAATTAATTACCCATATTTTTCGCTGTTCCTCATGATGTGACCGAGTTATTCGATTTTTACTATTTTTATGGTGGTTATCAGCTCTTTTCCTTTTTGAATTCTTTCCTATGCCACTTATATAATGCGATCATTATTATTATTATGATATGTGTGAGTTTAATAATTTATATATAGTTAATTTATTTTTAAATAGGGCAATACCAATGATAAAGACATTCACTTAATGCCCGTGCCCTCCAGCTTCAATGATATTCCCACAACTTTAGACGCCAGAGATCATTTAGGTCCAGTTCGTTATGAGAGATCCTTTCGTGTTCCGAGCGGTTGGCAAGGCGAAAAAAGAATATGGTTGAGGTTTGGCTCAGTTTGTTACTCGGCGGAAGTGGTAAGTGTTTTATAGTTTTAATCAATTACTATGTGGACTGTTTCGTTTTTGTGATTAAATAAAGAGATTTTTTGAATAATCTACAGTGCCTGACTACTTAAAAATACCCATTTTTAGTATATCAACGATAAGTTGGCCTTAACTCATGAAATTGGACATTTGCCGTTCACGGGAGAAATCACTTCTCTCTTAAATAACGCAGACAATGTTATTAAAGTGATAGTAGATACGACACTGACGAGCACTACTGTACCACAGGGATATACTGCAACTCTACCTGGGTAAGAATTATACAATTTATTTATATATTAGTTTTCTCCAACAGCAGCAGTAGAGGGGCGCACCACAGGTTCAAAAACAGCGTCCAAATATTGCTGACTTGTGAGAAAGCCGCGTGGGAAAATGAGGTTAGTTCTTCCGTCAATCATGATTCCGCCCCATACCATTAATGTATCACCTCTATATGCATACACTTTTTGAAGATGTCGTAATCGTTCTCCATTTCAGGGTCGTCTCCAAACTCATGGATGAATCTGGATGAAACAATCTGGATGAAATCCATATCTAGACTCGTCACTAAACAAAACTGTGGCCCAGTCATTGTCAGTCCCCTTTCTGAAACTCTTGATACCAGGTTAATCTTGCAGCGCGATTGCCTCTAGATAGAGGTGGACACCTCAGTGGTTGCCGACTACGAAGATTGGCTTCATGGAGACGATTTCTCACAGTACTGCTGCTAATTGTCACATTATGTGCAAGCTCTAATTCATTAACCAGCTCGGGTGCTGTGATTGTTGGCTGCCTTCTGGCATTTAAAATTAAATATCGGTCTTATGTGAGTGTTCTGTATCAATAATTATAGTACAAGCAAATTTATATGGTCATGAAATTTCTGTCATTGGTATTGTTAAATTATTAAAATATTCTTGGTTTTGCGTTGTGTGTAGTAAAATATACTACGAAATTATTTCTTCTTCTTCTAGTTTCATGACCATTATTGATTGTTGCATACCCCATTCGCTATCGTAACTTTATTGAGAGTAGCTTTAAATAATGATGTAGTCGTTTTACTTCTACTAGGACCACGTTTACCTTGGATCTTTCTCTGAATGATCTGATGTAAAAGTTAAAATTTTGAGGATATCTCATAATGTAAGCGAAGTATTCCAGCTTGCCTCTCTTTATTTTATTGACCAATTGTGTTGTTTAGTTCGGTTTAAGCATGGCCTTATTTAGGGTCCATATAAAAAAATTTTAAACCTATCACATAGTCTAAATGGAGTTGGGCAGGTCACATAGTCCGAATGACCAACCACCGTTGGACCAGAAGACTAATAAAATGAAGTACCAGAGGGGATAAAAGAAGTAGAGGTAGACCACCAACCAGATGGAACGACGATCTAAAGAGGATAACAAGCAACTCGATAAATAGTGCTCAAGACCTAAATATTTAGAAGAAGTTGGTGAAAGCATATGTTCACAGTGGACAAGCATGGCTGGTTCTTCTTCTTTATGTACCATGTCCTTTCAGAACGTTGGTTACCATCATATTCTTTTTCTTCTTCAACCTTAAGTAAGCCAACTTTGGACATAGACCTCCCCCAAATTAATCCAGTGTCTTCTATTTTGCGCCGCTTGCTTTCATTTATTTCCTCCAATCTTCTTAATGTCATCAGCCCATCTCATTTGTGGTCTTCCTCTACTTCTCTTTCCTAACCATGGCCTCCATTGTTGTATTTCGTGGTTTCATCTCTTATCCTTCAGTCGAGTATTGTGTACTACGAAACTCCATTTTAATTTGGCAACATGTTCTCCTGCGTCTTTTACTTTAGTTTTGCTTCTAATCCATTTGTTTGTTTTTTTGTCTATAAGTCTCGCCCCGAGCATTGATCTTTCCATCGCTCTTTGTGCTTTTACTATTTTATCCATATTGGACTTGGTGAGTGTCGACGTCTGTGAACCATATAGGGAGGATACAGTGATAGTAAATTCTGGTTTTTAAATACTGTTCTCTTTTTGTGCTTTACAAGATCCTACTTTGTTTTCTGAATCCTGCCCACGCTAACCTTTTTCTTCTGGTAATTTCGGCAGTTTGATTTTCTTTTGTTAATTTTTATTATCTGTCTCAGGTTCGTTCTTCGTTATTTCTGTAATGTTCGGCGTATTTGTCATTATTTTTGTTTTTTCCAAGTTCATTTTAAGACCTACTTTTTCCGAAGCTTGAAATAGTTGCGTCATTATGGTCTGTAGTTCTTCGAAACTTGTAGCGAATATTACAATGTCATCAGAGTATCTCAAATGACTCAGTTTTCTTCCATTAACATTTACTCCCTTATTTGCCCAGTTAATGTCTTTGAACACGTCTTCAAGTCCAAGTGTGAATAGCTTTGGTGAGATAACATCTACCTCGCAAACTCCTCTGTTGATTGGTATAGCTTTGGTTTTTGTATCAATTTGTATTTTCATTGTAGCTTTAGTGTAAATATTGTACATGAGCATTCTGTATCGAGAGTATATCCTGCAGTTGTTCATAGCTCTCTCTATTGCCCAAAGTTCTATGGAGTCGAATGCCTTTTTATAATCAACAAAGCCTCATTGGCTTTCTCTATTAGAGTTCTGACTGTAATAAGATGATTTGCTGTACTGTAACCCTTTCGGAATCCTGCCTTCTCTATCGGTTAATAGCGATCAAGCTTCGACGTTAACCTGTTAGTTATTACTCTCATAAACAATTTGTACTTTTGGGACAGCAGGAAGATTGGCCTATAGTTCTTGAGATCTGCCCTGTCTCCCTTTTTGAAGAGAAGTATTGTCAAACTTTCATTCCAATCATCTGGGACTTCTCCCCTGTGAAGACATTCGTTGAGAAGTTTTTTTATTTCTTCGAGAATAATTTCGTTCCCCTCCTTCACCATTTCTACAAGTATTCCATCTGGACCCGGAGCCTTATTGTTCTTTAGCTATAGCTTGTTTTATTTTGAATGATTCTATGTTAGGGAGTATTTCTGAGTTGACATTCGTTATCTTTCTCTTAAGGTCTTCCTTTGCAGTTTTATCTGGGTTCTTGTTTGAGAAATATAAATCACGGTAAAATGTCTAAGTAATTTTTGGGATTTCGTTTTTTTTCTCTAATTTCTTTTCCATCTTTATCCTTCAATGAGATTATTATTGGCTTTCCTAAGTTTGATCTTATGCATTTCAGGACTTGGTTCTTTTCTATTATTTTTTCTATCTTGTTTTCATTGTAGATCCTTAAATCTTTCTTTACTTCCTTCTTTATTTGTTTATTTAATTCTTTACAACCATTGGCATGTCACTTTCCTTCGCTTAGAAATGTGCGTCTCTTTTCCATTAACCGTTTTGTTCCTTCACTTATTCGGCCTTCTTTATTTTTTGTTTTCTTTGGAGCAGTCAGTCCTCCTTTCAAGAGCTTTCGTTGCATTTCTTTATTAATTGTGTTCTTGTCAGAATATTCTTGTTGACAATGAATGTTCTACAAATTCTTTTCTTAAGACTTCTCTGTACTCATCTCCCTTCTGTCGTATTTTAGTTTGATCTATCTCATTACAATAATTATGTGGCCTGTTTCTACTGGTTTTTATATTGTGGTATATATTTATATTGTTCTAATTTATTTGTCTTTATTCTAATTTATTGTCTATAATCTAATTTATTAAAACTCACGATAGCTAATTACTAATTTATTAAATAACTTTACAAATGTATTTGTTTCACGTTTCGTTACAAGTAAACCGCGTTTACCGATCTTCTTATGACTGACCCCTTCAATAAAATTTCGTCCTTATATAAAGAACCGTAAGACCGCCTAGACCTGACCTGACCATTGTCGAAAATACTGGAATGATCTCGTATTTTGGTGAAGGCGCTCGACTCGTTTTTCAACCTCGAGACGTGGATGACTCACTAAAATTAGTGTCTAGAGATTTCTGTAAACAACTGGTAGCGAAGCTCAGGTATATTTTGACCTACAAATTACGAGAATCAATAAAAAAGAATTAGTCATAAAATATTTACAGTTCTATATGCCATAACATTTAAAATCGTAACATTGCCCCCCTCTTAAAAGATGGTTCCTCCTGGAACCTTGTCGGGACTGGAACTGGAACGACATGCTGATATCGGCAACTGGACCCTCTTTTACAACTTCCAGTTGTATAGAAATGACAAGGGACGGTTTTCTCTCCGCAGCAGTAACTATGCGGATTGCAACAGACTAACACCTGGACTTCGGTGTCTTTAAAGATTTCCTCCACCATGTTTCGTATAACCCTCCAATCTAATTGGCGGCACTCCAACTTTGGCATGGCTAACTTTTGCACGTCGGACTCTAGTACGTGCTCTCTCAACTGAAGTAAGGCTTCCCATACATCTCGGTAGGTAGGTTGGTCACGGGCAGTGTCTTTTGTTACCAGGTAGAAAAGGTAACGTGATGCATCTTGAAGTTTCAAGGTTTTACCAGGAGCTGGCACTTGGCATTGAAGTTCTGCAACTCGACCAAACTTCCTTCGAAAGACGGATGCCAACCCTGGTGCATCTTTGATACTGGCCGGGATGGTAAGGGCCAGTGAGTAGTCATCGGGAAGCGCGAGTAGATCTTGCCTTTCTTCAGTGGTAACACCATGTCTTGCTTTACCGGTACCTCCATAGGCACCCATGAATTCCTCAAACGTGAGGTCAGACACATCTTGGACTTGGTTTACTTCCACTTCTTCATCTACGTCGTGGTCACCCTCGAAAGACGCCAACCGGTTATGGTGTACTATCATCGGCTTTCCTCTCGGAATCTTGCTTATTCGGTAAATAACATCATTGATCTTCTCCATAATGAGGTATGGACCTTCCCAAAACTGCTGCAATTTGGGAGAACAACCTTTTCGCTTTTTGGGGTTATAAAGCCAGACTTTATCGTTCTTCTTAAAACACCCCTTTTCGGCTTGTGTATCGTACCGTTTCTTCATTCGGTCACTAGCGATTTGGAGATGGGAACGGACCAACTCGTGTACATCGTCCATTCTTCTTCGTAATTCGATCACATAATCTTCACCTGCTACATCTTCTCCAGGTCGACACCCAAACTCTAGATCACAAGGTAGTCGCATCTCGCGTCCGAATAGGACTCTGGCTGGTGTCTGGCCTGTTGATTCATTAACAGCAGATCTGTAGGCCATTGTGAAGAACGGAAGATATTGGTCCCAGTCTCGCTGATGATCGGATACCATCTTTGTCAAATACTTGCCAACTGTTCTATTCATTCGTTCTA